CAGGGACCATTTGATTTCTTCATGGATACTTCTGGTTCCTTAAGCCACAGCACTTTCTTTTTAATCATCCCAACGCAATTTCCGCATTAGGAAATCATTCTAATTGTGCTCATCCTAATCAAACATGGTATCTTGCAACAGTCAAAAGGCTTCCTACGCAGCTTCTTTGACCTTAAGATTTAAGGTCAAGAATTAAGACTTTGAGCTATTTGGTGCAGGAAACTTCCTGCAGATCTGCAAAGTGCCTGGCATCCCAGGGGTGCTGCCAAATAGAATATTTTAAGTACCTAATACCGACTTTTATTAGTTGTATTCATCATATTAAAAATTAGCTCAGAAAAGGGTCATTAGGTAGCACAGAGCATTGCACTGACAGGTAGGGAATTTGATGGTAACAGGAATGGACTATAAATGTGCTATAAATTTATAAGTAAAACTTCCCAGTAGTTCTGATGAGTATATCCTCCTAAAATCAGATGGCACAACAGCTTAATATTGTTTTATCCGCCTCAATCTCTCCCCACTCTCCCTTCCCACACAGAGTCACAAAAAATACCTAGAATCCTAGTACAATAAAAATATATATTTAGAGTAATAGTTCATTCAAGGAAGAAAACATTTTTCCTTCGATTCATCATTTTCAGGTCCAATTCTGCTCATGCCGATATCCAATCTGGCTAGGAAAATATCTGTTCCAGCACTTAAAGCTGGCATTTAGCTTAGGAATGCTCTTTATGTTATCAAAGCTAGGAAAAACAGCAGCAATATTGTGAGAGTAAATAGATATATTGCTAAATGAAATGAATGCACCTTAAACTTACATGTAAAAGCACTCTTACTTCCCGGAAAAATGAAAAAGTTTGGCATACTTTTCTTTACTATAGTTTCTGTGGATTTTTTCCAGACCGAGTAAATTATCACAAATTGCATTTAGATGACATTTTAACCTAGTTGCAGTTAGATCCATTGGAAACCACAAAATCGTACACAAATATGATTTTAAAAATAGGATGCATCACACCGAGGCCTAAAACTCCCATTTTGTGTCCAAAGAAGTAGAGTGTAGCTTTCTTTTAAAGGACTGTTATTACATAACCTAACACTGAGCGCAGAAATTGGAAATTTAACCTTAGAAAAATTGACTATTTTCTCTGCTTCATGCTTCAAAACAGTCATAACCAAGCAGTTAAAAATGGACCAGTCAATATCAGTACTGCTGACTGGCTATTTTTACTGACACGTCCAAACATTTACACGGCAAGCAAGGGATATTTGATCAATGAGCCAGCAATGTGACATCTGGTGGATAGTTTCACCGGTCCAAGTCAGATTGTGATCTCACTTGTATCGGCATAATTCAGGAGGAACACCAGCGAAATTAAGAGAAATACACCAAACCAGCGTGGGTATTCTAGTCTGTTTTCGGTCCGCATCTCGTGTCAGGAAAAGCAGGCTCACTGACAGACCTCTACATTAGACATATTGCCTTCCTGTTTTAAAATATGTACATTTAATATTTAATTTAACAGAATTCCATACTCTCTGCACATTGAGCATGTCCTCTGAGGCCTCTGGTTTATATGTGCAGTCATAATACACCTCAACTGTAATTTGGAAGCACCATTGCCTAATGGGCTGAGAGGAAGTGTCTGTCTCCAATTAATCTTGGCTCTCTTTTGAGTGAATAATGAAAATATTGCCAAGTGAGTGGTGATTTGTAAAGTGGACCACAGGAGCTGAGCCAAGCTCAGTAAGCTCATTTAATTTAGAGTGTGCGATCAGAGCAATATTGGTAGAGGAACCAGTCTCCTGAAATGTCCAGATACTTGGACTACATGCAGATAATTTCAATTCCCAACCTTGAGCAATTACCCACTCGCAAACTCTGCCAAAAGTGAAATGTTACTTATAACGCTACAGATATCTGTACCAAAATGTATGGCTAGAACAACAATTTTACATCATATTCATACCTATATTGTATGTGCCTTCAGATTTTCACAAACGTAGGAAGATCATTCTTCGTTAAATGATGCCCAATATTGTAAAATAAACACCAAGATGACAGACACGGACTCTGCAATCTAACTATCTGCATCAATCAACATTTTTTCCCCCCAGATTTTGAATTTGTTCTTGGATTTGATGAAACAAAGTCGAAAGTTATTCAGAGCCAATAATGGCGAGACAAAAATGGCAGCGTAAATGATACCTATGAATCCATGATAACAAGCTTATAGGATAGGCTATTTTCAAGATCATTTGGCTCATCTAGGAGGCTGGATAGCTCTCCGAGGCAAAGAGTATAAACATTAAAGGTCAAAAATAGAACGGTGAAGTTACCCATTCACACGAGCAGTGGGAATCATTGCCATTTGGCTGCGTACCATTATGCCATTCTGCGGTCTAATGACAACTGCATGTCCCATGCTGATGTTTCCCTTTCAATTTTCACAGAATTATTGAAAGTATTTAAGGCACTAACTGCGAAAGAGTTTTGGTTTTAGAGAAAAGACGAAATTAGATTATAGATCAGATTACCTTGGAAAGCTGAAAGGCACGAGAACGTGCACTCAGGAAGGCTCCAGACTATAAGCTGAGCACGGCTTCTTGTGGGTTGAATTTTACTATTACACAACATAAAGGTCTATGGTAAGATTATGTGCAATGCAACACAAACTCTGAAGTATCTCTGCAACCCTTCAGCAATTTTTGCATCCTCCCACTCCTATGCTTCTCTGTGGAGCATTGCTCAGCACATCAGTAATCGTGCTGGAGTCCTACCCTGCAAAAGGATCCCCAGAGCTTGCCCTGACAGCAAAAGCCTGGAAGCAAAAGCTCATCTATCAGGGTTACTTCCCTGAGCTGGAATCAGGGCTTTTGAGGGCCCTTTTACACCAATCTCATCCTTTCATCTTGCATGAAAGGCTCAGCAAAGGGATTGAGAGTCTTATCTCTGACCTCTAAAACCATCCTGTATGACATTCAGTCATTTAAAGACCGGTCCCCTTCTTCTTTGAAGCTACATGGCATCCGGCTTCCTGAAGAATCCTATTTTTTCACAATGTAAGGTTGCAGGCAAGCAAAACAAACACGCCACTTTAAATATTTAAAGTCATAGTGAATTTATGGAAATTATCTATTCAAGCTCAGCAAAGACACTAAGTACCCAAGCTGTTCTAGGATGGTCCTACAGAGAAAAGCCAGAAATGATCTGAGATTTCCATGTTACTAATACTTACAGGGATTACATTGTGAGCCTAACATAGAAGCTTTTCATACGGATCAGTCTGGTGAGCTCCAAAACGTTACCGCACCTAGTTCAGTAAAACATACCGTATATGCACATGTAGATATAAAATCTGGACTTATGGACAGCATATTTTGAAAGGCATCTGCTTGTTTAGTTTTCCGAACTGTGAAAACTATTATTTAGTAGCTCCTTGAAAGGCAACTGGAACGGGATTTGAAAGTAGAGAGATGCCTCTCGAAACGCAGATAAAAGACAAATCCACATAGCTCTGTTTTAATCAGCTAGATCCCCGTTGTGATGAACATGCAAATGTGACTGTTTTATGTGCTGTATTTCAAAGAGTGAGAATGGAAACAAAAAGCAGGTTTGTGTTACAAAACTAATGACAGTCGTGTCCTCCAAGATTAATGGTTAAACCCCACCAAAATCAGAATGATTAAGTTCGCTTCTCCCACCCCCTCAGGACTTCTGCTTCGTTATTAAATATTTTCCCCTCCCCTTTATAACTGTTGGGCCTCCTAATTGAGGTGATTAATAATTACTGTCAGTCAGGAATACTTAAATAGTGTTCTTTTAACCAAGAATTTTGCCTCGTCGACAACAAGGTTGGCATGATGTTTTCTTTTGTTAATTCTTCATTTCCTATTTGATTTTATTTGCGAATGGCTTTAGAGCGAGTGACAACAGCCAGGCTGCCCGCTCTGAGGCACAAGGCCCTTTACTATTCTCACAGCTTTATCACGACTCCCCTGGTATCTGGTGGGTTTTTAATTTCAAGCTCCAGCTGCTGGAGTCAGGGGACTAAATGAGAGTTTCAGGGGTTTTTTAATATCAACAAGTCAATAGAAACCGGCTTGCATTTGTGATCGCAGAGAAGAAGTCTAAAACTGTGAGGCAAGTGTGCCCTGATGCACGGCAAATATACTAGAAAGGCTTAGATAGCAGAGGGCAAAATTCAAAAAACACCCCAACATCTATTATTAAGAAAAACTAACTAAAATCCTCAAAATTTCTAAACTAATGTAATGATTCTTGGGGCTTGAGTTGTGCATTGAGACTGTTTGAGGTTGGTGATACTTTTATACAAAGAACTGTTACGGCCCGAAGAACAGAAACCTGTCCTTACCCACAAACCCTGCTCTAATCCTGCCCGGGAAGAACCCTGCATTGGGGGTGCAAGAATGCGTGTAGTCTCCACAAGCCGTGTCGGTTTAAGCTAACTGTGGTGGCACTGTATTTTTCATGGGGCCAATCTGATCCAGACTAGGGCTATCAATCCCATTTCACAAAACCTATTAACATCTTTATTTAAGATAAATGCACATTTCTTTTATTAAAAATAGTATGTGTACATTAATAATAAAGGCTATATACCCTCCTCCTAAAGCAATCTATCGGTTTCTGAACAGGCAGTCTGATCTCGTGGACGGAGAGAGGATTTCAGGAATCCAATTTCTTCAGTAAAGCTGTTTCAGTTTCTTCATTTAATGTCTTTAGAGGCGAATTGATCCTACATGGTAATTTTAGTGTTGTACTACATGTCGCAGAGGAGATATTTTATGTGAAATTAAATTAGCATTTGTCTATATTTCACCATGCAACCAAGCTGGCTCATGTGTCATTGATAGCAGTAAAACAAATATGTGTGTGTGTACTTTTGCAGGGATGATGAATGTTACTGTATAACCATTTAAGGGCAGACATCCATAATGAAGCATACTAGTCAGCAAACATGCTTAGTACTTACCACGCTGAGTCCTAGCAATTCCCTGAAAAAGTAGTCCATGTTCCTCCGTTGTAAGTTGTCAAGATAGTGTTGAAGCCGAGTATACGTGTAGGGGTAGCAGTAGGCAAATTGGTAAATGTCATCCTCTCGGTCAAAGCAAAAAGCAAATGACATGACATAGTTTTTCCTGTGGTCTGGACAGCGATAATAATATACATTTTTAGGTGGCAGCCTTTGCCTAAAAAAAAAAACAAAATACACATACACAGAGGCATGAGAAATGTCATCAGTTTAAATGCTACAGAAAGACTAACTGGAATCCAGAGTTTATCTCAAACGTATTATGGAAACCAACTGGAAGTTTTACTGGCTCAGAAATCAGTAGCTGGCTACTAAACGTCTCACTGCAGAACCGGCCAGTCAACCTCTCAAAGGACACTTTGGAGCCCATTCATATACTATATGAAAAAGGTCTGGGTACCGAGGCTTGAGGTAGGCTTGTTGACCCTCGCTGTGGTTAGAGTTTACATAGATATACCCAGACTTGCTTTAAACTGGCTCGTTCGGGCAGGGCTACTAGCACAGCCTGGTACCGGTGTAGCATGGTAGGTAGCTTAAAGACTCTATGCAAGTCGCACCTTTGCCTGCAGGATCGGTTTAGCCTTTCATGTCTAAGGGCTGGGGGTAAAGCATAGTTCATAAGACAGGTTCTGGGCTGAACCTCGGGACATTTCTGTATCCCAACCAAGTTTACTGGGAAGGAGATATACAGGCACGTCACACAGGAGTGGCAGGAAAAGATCAGTTCTTGGGAAACACTCCCATGTAGTGGAATGACCCCAGCAATTCTCTCTCCTAAGGCAATCAGTTGACCCCTGATTATAAAAGTAAGGGAGAAAAGGGGAGTTTGGCCAGTTCCAGAGTGGATGACTGTAGCCCTAGACACCATGTATATTAAAATGCAAATGCAGTATAATAAATAACTATAGTTGAAGAACTTCCACTGCGGTTAGCAGTATTGCATGTACTAAGGGGGTAACAAATGCCGATGTTTAGCTCTGCCAGATCTCTCTCATGCACCCAGTTTCAACGGTTCTCTTATTTCTCAATAGAAAAGTGACATAGTTTGCAGATATGAACCCAATTTGTGTTCCATAGACTGATGCTGTTCAGTCTCTCTATATACGCCCACTCTTTGCTTTGGACACAGGTTCTCTACCTTTATCTAGATAGGCAGATTCTCCAGTCATACCATGTTCTTGCAATTTAATGCTACTAATTTACCAGCCGTGTTTGGCAACAAACCGCTACAGTCCTGCAGACTCCAACTAATTCAATTATACAATATTATAAACAGTTCTCATCTAATGATTGTAGCAGATCTCAGCTAAACTAGGATTACGGGGAGGGAAAACATAATGAGATTTATAGACATAGCAATAGTAACGTGTCTTTTTTTTTTTTTTTTTGTAATACTTCCGAGAAGCTGGACTACAGCAGAGCATCAGTTTTGGCCTTTCATTGTTAATATGAAGTAGAGAACAAAACCCTCTCATTATGCAAAGGGATGTGTTTGCCAATTAGCAGCAGTTAAGGAGTATGATCAGTAAGACATGGGAGCCGCAATGAGAAACAGAAAGGAACTGAAATGTTCTTGGAAAAGTACAAAGAAGAGCCAGTGATGCAGTTAATTAGAGTTGAAATAAGAATTATTTGCCCCTTTTTATTGCCCTGATTCTTGAACACTCCAGGCATCAAGAGCTTACTTCAGTATTTGTGGGTTTAGTAAGACTTTTCCTTACCGTGGAGATCCAGCGCTAACCGAGTGGAAATAATTTCTGAGGCCACAAATGTGAAAGATGGAAAAAAAAAAAACTTTTCAATTTTTTAAAAGTAGAGCGGGGAAAAGAACTGCTACCAGCCGTCTGCGTAACGTACCCAAACCTAATAGGTTCCTCAAGTATCTGAACATATTTCTATCATTCACCGTTACTCTGGAGTGCGATAGGACATCCCTCATTTGATCTCAAATCAAGCAGATGATATGGCAGTGGGTAAATGTATTCTAGCTCCCTGTTCTCAAACCGTAATGCAAGCTTAAATGGTATAATGCTGAGTTGTTGAACTTTATTTGTTTCCAAATTAGCATATGGGGAAATAACAAAGGGCAGGCCTTACTTCATGCAATAAAAAAATTGCATGTAAAATGAGACGGGCAGGAAGAAATTTGGGATTCCAGAAAGGGCTGCGCTAATTGAAATTCATCTGTGGATAGTTAATGTTTTGAATGACACATGGCTCTGCTTGGTTCAATAACTTTGTACTTTTAAGCAAGTTTAGGACAACTTTGGTTAATGTATTAAATGTACTTTCGATATTTCACTCCCTTTCCCCCTCATTATAGAAGCTAAGCATCTGTTTTATTATCCACTTTGACACACCGCTTTATGGCTGCATTTGGCTATTATGGCTAATCTCAATGTCTAGGACATCTGGTATTGACATTTCACTATCTGGTGTCTAACACAGCAGCAGAAACCAGCCTCGGTTCCCAGGTTTAAATCTACCCTCTCAAGGCAGAAAGTACCCAAACTCTTAATTCAAACCATATCTTCCAAAAATAATTATAATAGTACTCCTGTCAGTGCTAATCTATTCTTATCTCTCCCAGCACTTTGTCACAGCTAATCTGTTTGTGAGTCATATGGAGAAAGAGAGTTAGTGTTTAGATACCGACAACACATCTTTACACACAGGAGCCTAATCAGATTCAGATCTTATCTGGGAATTAAAAAAAAAAAAAGGGGGGGGGGGCGGGGAGAAAGAAAAGAGACACAGCACTAGATATCACCAACTGAGCGTTTGATAACGAAGAAACATCGTTCAGTTCTTGAATTAACCTTTGTGTCCTAGACGCACTATTGTTTACTCTTCCTCCTTTTTTGTTCGATGCCTTCTGGAAAAGGACACCCACACACTGTGGCAGCAGCTGCTCCTATTAATTTAAAGCTATTACAAAAATTAAAATTAAACCCAATTACTTTGGCTGGTTTATAGCCGGAGAACGGCTTAGTCTGATTGTTCCCTCTGGTTATGGACAAAAACAATATTCCTACCTACAGCCAGCTGCCAGCAGAATACTAATGCATCCCGGGCCTGCCAGGACGTATTCGGAATGCAGAATTTAACTGCATTTCTGAGTAGAGAAAAATATCTTATCAAGGATCTACAGAAATGCACCAAGTTCTTAGACTGTAGGTCACGAAGCAGTTGGTTCCTGGTAAGAGCCAGGGAAGGAAACCGACAGAGGAAACGTAATGCTCGTATTTGTCATTTTGCATTTCCAGGCATTAAACACTCACAAACATGCCCTGCTAATTGCTACACAAGCGCCCGCATCGCATCGCTACGGGGGGGGCTAGTTAAAGGAAAACCCTCACGAATCTGGAAAGCGTCTTTTGAACCACTCATTCTCGGTTTGTTTTTCGAAGTGGATTACGCAGACACTGTTGAATATTATGCATTCATTTGGGGGGTTGGGTGAGGGGGAGGAATGACCCACCTTGGCTGCCTAGTTTGTAAGGATAAATGCCAAAATCCATTAAGAGTGGGTAGCGCTGGAGGCATAGTGAGCTCCTGCAGTGCCTTGGGAAGCGTGCTGCTTGCTGGGGAGCAAGAAGGGAAACTCCCCCGAGGAGCAGGGTGAACTGGGAAAATTCCCCTGCCCCATTGAGAGGCTTTGCTATGGCAGACGCAGCCCCAGACTGCCAAGCCATTGAAGCTAGGCATCCCTTTGTCCCACAGTGCCTGGGGCGAAGGGGTTGAGTTGAATGGCACCCCTTCCCAGCATTTTTGCCATGGGAGGAGCAGTTCTGTGCCCAGTAGGGCAAACAGGGAACCAGGGACAATGCCCAGGGAGCCATTCTGCAGCAAAGCCCACTGCATCCCCATATAGTATGAAACGCAGGGCTGCCTGGCTTCTAAGGCTGGGTGGCATGGGGCTGCACCTGCTGGAAGAAATGTTTCCAGGGTTGTGGGGGGAAGAGTCTGGCATCCCCCTTAAGTTGGCACCTGGGGCAGGTGCCCCACTCACCCTGCACAGGGA